GAAACCTCATCATGCGGTGTGTTTGAACAGTGTTGTTCCACCACAAGCCTCCCAGTTAGGTGGTGTTCAAGCACCTCTAGAATATCCTTAATGCCCCCTGGAACCAGCTACAGAACTCCTAGAACCTCCTCAGTGACCACAGGAACATCCTAAAGGAAAACTAGAGCCACCTTAAGGAATTATTTACCCTCCTCAGTAAATACTACAGCCTTCTAATGTAGTGCCTGAACCTCCTCAATGAGCCCTGACAACCTTGAAGGAAAGACCCCTGAATCACTACTGCCACCCTTTAGTGCCTAACTGTGGGGTGGCTGTGGTTCAGGAGGCAGAGCTGGTCCTCTACTAATCAATAGGTTGGCAGTTCAATTCCTGGGTTCTCTAGTCTGCATGTCAATGTTGCTTTCTCCTAGGCACTAAGCCCCAGGTTGCTGCTGTTCCATCGCTGTGTGTGTGTGTGTGTTACGTAAATGCTTGTGTGGCAAATGAGTGAATGGGAAGTAAAGTATTTTGCATGCAAGTCATTGCGTAGAAAAACACTATGTAAGTATAAGACCACTTACCACAACTAGAACCAGCCCAAAGACTGTAGATACTCGTCACCAGTAAAACAGTTGCAGGCCACCCCCAGATTCTTCTGACACGCAACTAAAACCTGACAGAAAGAGCAACTAGTGGTGGGGTGTTGGTGCTGAAATTAGGTGGTTCCACTGTGGTTCAGTGGGTAAAGCAGTTGTCTCCCAACCAGAGAGCTGGAGGTTTGAGTCTCGGTGCCTGCACTCCACATGTCGAAGTGTCCCGAACCCCCAAGTTGCCCAACTCGGTGTGAGTTGGCACCACAGATGGACTGGAAACAAATTCCTTATGTGTGTGTAACATACTTGGCCTTTATTATCCTTATTAAAAACCAGCCTTCCAGTTAAAGTGAGAGAGAGTGTGAGGCACTGCTCACTGCACATTAGTCCCAGAACCCGTCAAACCAACACAGTCTGTCTGCCAGAATGTTTGCCACTTCATGTTCAAGTCAAGTCAAGAATCTTTATTGTCATTATGCATAGCACAATGAAATTTTTTCCAGCAGCTCTTGTTCAAGTTCTAGTTTTTGGTGCACAAACCATATGATAAAGTGACACCTGTTCATGTCCACAGTGTGCCCAGTGGAGTACAGTCAGTCTTGTAACTGCAGAGTCTGAGCACACAGTCAGTAGGTGGACATCGCCCCCCACAGGTCACATTCCAGACTGCCAGACCTCTGTGACCGAGTCCTTCAGGTCTTCACTCATGTTTTATCACTTCATCTTAACATCAGCTTACAGGAGCATTGCACCACTCAGGCAGCCATCACCATGATGATGAGTAAACAACAACAATCCTCCTATGTCCTAGCTAAGCATCACTTTTATGTTTCATCTCACTGTTATTTCCGCTGCTTCTGAAGTGATGGTAACACTAATGTGTGTCTCTGCTGTGACTGACAAAGATTTTGTAATGAAAGCTTCCTACTTTAATGTTAAAGCTTATGACTTGGATGTTATTTAAAGGGACACTCAACTGGTTTTGCATGTTTTAGCCTTTTGAACTGAAATCAGACTGACCTCAAATTGTTGTTGACCCTTTTCCAAATCAATTCCTCCCTCCTAATAAAAACACAAGAAACACAATTTACAACAAACTCTGTCTCGGGGATTAAAGTGGATCCCACTCTGCAGAGACTGTAAAGCCCTTTGAGGCAAATTGTTATCGTAATATGAAATAAAATATTTCATGTTTGCCTGATGTATAATTGTCCAGACAGTCACTGGTACATATCTCAATACTGCAGAGAGACTTTGTTTTGTCCTAGTTGCTTTCTCACCATTTGCTTTTGTGAGCAGCAGCCATTTTATTTCAGGATGCTTCGGTGTCCAACATTTGAGGGTGTGCTTCCAGAAACAACACAGATGATGTCAGAAAATTAAACTCAGAGGAGAAACTCTGAATAAACCTGGAGCATGTGAAAGGAGACTGTGATTAGTCACATTTGTTGCTTTGGAAACTGTTCTTCAAAAGAAGGAAGATTTGAAAATGCACCTCTGCCAAAGACAGCAGAATCTGCAGTATGTGATGCAGCAGAGCCCCGCTCTGCTGACACACCTGGACAGCTGCCCAGGTGGTGGCAGCAGTTGCCACAGATGAGATGGATAGAGTGGATTCTATCAGTGATCCTATCAGTGAGATAAGATGAGGCTCATGAAACCAGAACATGTGGAACAAAGGTGATGGCTGCAACCAGGGAGCTCACCTGAACAGGTAACAGAAAGGTGAACACTCGGAGCACAACATTTACTACATGAACTCTTTATTCCTTACATCCTCTTTTGCCTCCTTCCCATCATGTCTTTATGTCTCCCACTTGTATTCTTTACCTCCTTTCCTTTCCTACCTCCTCATTCTCTCATTACCTCCTCATTTCCTTCTGTTCCTTCTTCTCCCCTTACATTTCCTCCTTCCTAATTTTCCCTCCTAAC